ACCAAGGGGTAGATGAGGGCCGGAAAAGGGTTCAAGAGACAGACAAACAGAGATAGAGAGAGAGAGAGAGAGAGAGAGAGAGAGAGAGAGAGAGAGAGAGAGAGAGAGAGGGAGAGAGAGAGAGAGAGACAGACAGACAGACAACCAGAGAGAGAAAGAGAGACAGACAGACAGACAACCAGAGAGAGAAAGAGAGAAAGAGAGAAAGGCAGCGAGACAGAGAGGGGGAAGGTGAGAGAGATAGACAGAGAGAGAAGAGCGGAGAGGGAATGCGAACGAATGGGAGAGAAAAGAGAAAGAGAGGGAGGGAGAGAGAGACAGAATTAGAGAAGGGGATCAGAGAGGGAAAGCGAACGAATGGGAGAGAGAAAGGAAAACAGGGAAACACAGCGACAGGCAGACAGAGAGAGATAGAGAGAGAGACAGAGAGACAGAGGGGGAAAGAGCGAGAGAGAGAGGAGAGAGAGACAGAGAGAGACAGAGAGACAGAGAGAGACAGAGAGAGACAGAGAGACCTAAATATATAAGCAGTAAGAGCGTGGCGTGTGCGTGCGAATGACGTACGGTACCGCGTTGCCGCCAACAGCAGCAGCAGTAGCAGCAGCACCAGCAGCAGCAGCAGCAGTACCGACGCCTCTTTATTAACTACAGCTCCACTTTTCACCGCAATTATCACAAAAATATACAACTCGATATTACGTCGGTTAACCCTCGCTGTGACACCGCGCGGGGGCGCCTCGTACGTTCATGCCAAAAACAAGCGACGTTCGTTTCAACATCGCCGCCTGCATGTAGTCTCGACGTGAATAAACACAAACGTGGCTCTCGTGGTTTCTCGCGAGACAAAGTGTGATCGGCTGCACGTGACTCACTCGGCCACGTGACAGCAGTGGGTCGTGGCAGCAGTACTTGTGCTTCTAACACACAGCTAAGGGTTAGATGCACACGCACACAACCCCCACGTACGACAGCCCCACGCGCGCGCCTCACTCACTAGTCCTAGGGTGCGCCACCATACACGCGATAAAACAATACAGGGAAAAAAATACATTTTTTGCGCGAAACCGAGGCATGGCCACTACTCGCCTTATTGCTTACGTCACAACAACATGGCTGTCAACATGGCCGACAACATGGCCGACAACATGGCTGCCAACATGGCCGACAACATGGCTGCCAACATGGCCGACAACATGGACGATAATATGGCGGTCATCGGCAGCAGCCAAAACTTAAACCGTGAAGCTGACGTCGCGGCTTGTTGCCGATACCATCCGATACAATCTGATACCATCCGATACCATTCGATAAATACATAGATCAACAGTACACGTAGTATATAAAACTATTATCTCAATAATTAATAACATGATCGAACATTCAATCAATCAATCAATCAATCGATCGATCGACCGATCTCTCATCGTGGGTTTTGAGGTAGCAATGTTATTATTGATTTTTGCAATTCATTTACAATCGTCACGGTAACCGTAAATGACCAAGCTCTGTCTCACAAATACGAAAGCATTTCTACGGGCAACGACGGAGCGATGGGCGCTGAGATGGAGGAGGAGGAGGAGGAGGAGGAGGAGGAGGAGGAGGAGGAGGAGGGGGCAGGAGGAGGATGAGGAAGAGGAGGAGGGGGAGGAGGAGGAGGAGGACGGGAGGAGGACGGGGAGGAGGAGGAGAAGGAGCTGAACTCATGTGCGTGCGCAGGTGGAGGCAGTGAGGATAGAAGCTGTGTGGGACATACAGAGAGTAGAAAGAGCTTGATGCATGAGCACACATATAAACATACTGCATATACTACTGTGACGTCATCGCAACGACTATATTTATATATATATATATATATATATATATATATATAATATATGTATATATATACAGATGAACGTGTATAACAACTACTGTTAACAACGTGTATCATGCGTACAAGCGCATGACGTTACACGTTCTGCAGGCACGAGTTTCTGCGGTGGACGGCTGAAGAGCAAAGGTACAACAACGTACGCACGCACGAATGGCAGCAGCAACACAATTATCATTAGAGAATTCCACATTACGACATCCCATCCTGACCGATCAATGATCCGGCTTCACTGACGAAGAACTCGTCTTGTGTTGACGACCGCTACCCGCCCCTGGATACTGTTGCTAGGTCAATCAACGACAAGCGTCATGCATCCCTTTTTAAGTACACTTGTATACTTACACTTTAATTTGTCGACTTTGTCGCACTTCGTAGCCACGTGTTGTTTTTAAAACGCGCTATATCAGCGCTTATTGGCTACTGCTGACTGACAGTGACGCGATGGGTGGGTAGGTTAATTCGGTGGCGATGTCTTTATTTCACGCCCTCCCCTCCCCTTCCTTACTCACACCCTCCTGTAGGCATTTCGTATAGGGTCCTACAACTCCACCTCATAAGCTCGCTTTAGCACAAAAGCTCGTGGGAGGACGAGGTAGAAACAGGAACAACAGGAAATGTTGTCTCGTTAGAAAAACGACGATGTAGGGCTCCGTCTGCCCGTTTATTTATCGCGAGATCTCGCGAGATCTCGAGGTAGGATACGAAGTAAAGCACTGCGTCCACGTGACTAACACGAGAGCGCCATCTAGCGGGCAAACCGTTACTTCTGTCTCTGTACATCCCCCAGCCTCTGTGAAATACTGCCAGCAGAACACGCCCGCCACCTAGTGGCGTCTATCCGTCCGACAGTGAGCCGTGTTGAGAGGTACACTGATCAATATTTATATATATATATATATATATATATATATATATATAACAACATGATTTGATAATAACCGCGTATTAACCTACATCAACACCAACAAATGGGGTCAGGTGGCCGCCACGTCCGTGGCCTACGTATCAAATTAACGTTAATCAAACTAATAAAATAATGTGCCTCTTGGAATAATTTCCAACTTCGTCATTTTTAACTCGTGATAAAACCTCGTGGGACGACCGACATGGCGGCCAAGTCACGTGACAAACGGCCAAGTCACGTGACAAACAACCAACATGTCGGCCAAGTCATGTGACATACGACCAACGTGGCGGCCAAGTCACGCGACAAACGACATCCGCATTGCGTCATCAGACGCTTGTTATAGATAGATATAGATGATTGGGTGGTGATGACGGTGGGCCCGTTAGATCGTACCCTCTACGCTAACAAAATAGTAATAATATAAACGTAAAAACAATGACGCACGCATTCGTGCGCCGCGCGCGCGCTAAGACACACGCAGAGGTAGACGAGTAACAACATTTTGGCCAATAATTCTCTGCCTTCCATTTCACGAGACACACACACGTGTGCACGCGTAATCACGTGACCTGAGGTGCCCCTTACATAGCATGAAGTATACAAACTTAAACACGTGACCTGGGGCCCCTGCAATGGATGAGGTATACACACGTACTCACGTGACATTAGGCCCCTACACTGCATGAGGTATACATTTAATCACGTGACGATAGACCCGTGCACTGCATGAGGTATACACAGTCAATCGCGAGACCTTAGGCCCGAAAAGTGCATGAGGCATACATGGTTATTCACGTGACCTCAGGCCCGTGAACTGGATAAGGTATACATGTAATCATGTGACCTTAGGTCCGTACACTGGATGAGGTATACATGTAATCACGTGGCATTAGGCCCGTGCACTGGATGATGAGGTATATAAGTCAACAAACGGGTGGGAGTCGCAACTCAGTAAACAATTGCATGCAGGCAGTTGTGTGTGTTGCTGCATGTGCACACTGGCCACGCACGCACACACACACACACACACACACACATTGACCTTTGACCCCCAGCTTCGACATGCCAACTCGTTTTTAGGATTACCCCCCTACGTCCTGACTTTCGAATCTGTACGTCGAGCCGTTTAGATTTGTGGCCAACTGTTGACAGACGGACGGACGCACGCTAATAAAATTACAATGAGCTTATGCATAATTTAATCATTTAACAGGTTATACAAGCTGATGACAGCTTACATGGAAAACTCGACGAGTTTGTCCAAAATTACGTAGAGGGTGCGGGTGCACTCGTTGAGGCCTACGAGGCCCAACGATTTCCCGCGACAATCCGGGGCGAGTGGGAGCCACCTTGCCACCTGCGGATACCGCACTACGAGTAAGTAGATAAATAAAATATAAAAAAGGTTAATTTCGTACATATATATGTTGAAACAAACAAAACATTAAACGTGTGCAGTTAATTATGAAATTTTGTAAATTTATGTTGATCAATTACATTATCAGGGACATTCTCTGTGGTCCTCCGCGAGAGGTGACAGAGTTTGCGAGGGCAGTGATCCCACATCCAGATTAACAGCGCCTCTACAAGTTCTGCAGCTACTCTCTGGATGGGCACCACTGCGGATCGTACGTCCAAATGGAATTTTCCGAAGCGGAACATGGTCCAGCTGCTCCGAACATGATAAATGTAGGCGGCGAGATCAAATATACCTAAATAGGTAAGAAAAATACATATATAGTTTGTATAAGAATGAAAGCAAAGAAGGTGTCCATTTTTGTGTGATTCAATATAATTGCGGAAACAAGGAAAACAAATTATACTGACAATTAAGTTCAGATGAGCACTGTCGCTCATGCAGCACTTGTTTGATTTTAGTTTGAACTATGCGCAGTTATATCAGATATTCAAATTGTACCACATACTATACCCACTAAAATGTATTTAACATATTTGCCTAAATATGTCTTCCATTCACAGCGAGTGCCTGATTGAAATAATTCCACACCCGGTGTCTCTTCCACTCCTGAGAATCCCCAGTGGCTATACTTCATAGCAGATGTGCCACACCTTTTGAAAAATATACGAAATGCACTGCAAACGCTGGACATATATTTGCCAGAATCTGTGGTCCAGCAAGAGAACTTGCCTACTCGTCAGGTTTGATGCTTAGAAGTCACAATACTTAGAGACAAAATTACATTTCGTTTAAATTCATTTACATAGTGTCTAATATAATAATAATACTCTAATATGTCAATAGATATATATCTGATGCTGGTTGCACATATTTGTCCATCTTATTTTAAAGTTCATAACATCACACAATTGATATTTCAGGTGTCCATGTCACATCTTCGGTAGCTGGTGAAGTACCAGGATGAGTAGGTATTGAAACTGGCACCGAAGCTCACGAACGCCCATGTCAACCCAGGCAATTTTGAAAAGATGAAGGTGTCGCTGGCTGCACAGGTACATAAGTTTCTATGCTCGCGTGTAACAAATATAGTCCATTATGCAATATTTATATGCACTAATTACTTTACTTATTTCAACCAATTTTAACACTCACTAATGTACTCTCTGCTTTTTATTCAAGCTGTTTTATACAGCACAGCTTTGGGACTGAGTGTGTTAGTGGAGTTTGGCATCCTACCTAACGAAGCCAAGACAACAGCATGGTTCTGCCGCTTTGTCGACAAGCTTTTTGACATACTCAATGGCCGACACTACCACGCAGGACTTTTTCCTGGCAAGTAAATTATATATAATACTTGATATCTTTAGTATTTAGTTACAAACGAAGGCCTGATTAAATAATTATGAGCTGAATTTATTTTTTTACGGTGTAGGGTCAGACAGCCACATATTGAAACTAGGAAAAGCAATCCTCACAATACAAGGATTACAGTTCCAAAAAGCGGGGTGGAAGTCAAGACAGAGTGGGCTACAGCTATCGATCAAATCCGTCCTTGGGCTGTACAAGGACTGCGTGAAAGAGGGTTCCTTCACCTTTCTCTCGCTCTCTCGCTCTCGCTTTCTCGCTCTCTCTCTCTCCTCTCTCACTCTCGCCCTCTCTCCCCTCTCTCTTCCTACTCTTATTCTCTCTCTCTCGCTCTCTCCCTCTCCATCCCTACTAGCTACTACACGGTGTGGTGCTGCCAGTGCGCACTATTCACACACAGGCACTCACAGATACAAACACAGATAGATGCGGACGATGCAGACACGCTGCTGATATGTGATACAGAGGCGCGGTGGTCGTGTGTAAATAGTCAGCAACCGTTCCCACGCTACGTGCACGCGTGCGTGCGTGCATGCGTGCGTGCGTGCGTGCGTGCAGCCCTGCCTGGCAACATCACGCACGCACTGATTTACGAATACTGTCCGACCACGCGCGCGTGCGTGCGTGCGTGCACGCGTTCCAGTTAACACGTTAGTGTAGTCGGAGGGAGGGTTAATTATAAAGAGGTAGCATTGCATCAACGCTGAGCAGTGGTAGCAGCGGCTCAATAATTGAGCCTATGTCTATGTACCACCACCACCACTAGCAGCAGCAGCAGCAGCAGTAGCACAGCTACCGTACGTACGATATACATAAGCTCAAGATATCAATCAATCGATGATGGCGCTGGCGGCGGCTGCGGCGGCGGTGGCGCTGTCGTCGCTCCTCCGTCAACAAATGAGCGGTTGTCTGGATTTCTGCATTGCTTCTGTCGTCAACACGACTGCCTCACGCATGCGCAGTTATTCTCTTCCTCCCTGACAGCATCATCATCATCATCATCATCATCATCATACAACAGCAGCTGCAACAACAGTAGCAACAACAACAACAGCAGTGGCAGTAGCAGTAGCTGACGTAACAGCAGGACTAGTGTGGATGTGCATCCCTGCTCATGCGGTGCAGCCTAGTCATGACGTGCAGCCTAGTCCTGTAGCCCTGTATCGGTGCATCCTATCAGTGCATTCTAACTGTTGTAGAGCATGCAGCATAGCCAGGCATCCCAGCCATGCATCCTAGCTGTTGTAGAGCATGCAGCATAGCTGTGCATCCCAGCTGTGCATCCTAGCTGTTGTAGAGCATGCAGTGTAACCTGGCCATGCAGCCCAACTGTGCATCCCAGCCGTGCATCCCAGCCATGTGTCCAAGCCGTGCATCACAGCTGAGCGTGCATCCTAGCTATTGTAGAGCATGCAGCATAACAGTGCATCCCACCCGTGCATCACAGCCACGCGTGCATCCTAGCCGCACGCGCATCCTAGCTGTTGTAGAGCATGCAGCCCAGCCATGCATCACAGCCATGCATGCATCCTAGCTGTTATAGGGCATGCAGCGTAGCCATGCATCCTAGCCGTGCGTGCATCCTAGCTGTTGTAGGGCATGCAGCGTAGCCGTGCATCCTAGCCGCGCGTGCATCCTAGCTGTTGTAGAGCATGCAGCGTAGCTTGGCCGTCTCGTTCTTCAGCGAGGCGACCTCCACGCGCAGCTTCAGGTTCTCCTGCTCGAGGAAGGCCGCGCGTATCGCGATCTCGTCCTCCTTTGCGCGCCGCGCGTCCCGCGACCGCTTCGCCGCCTCGTTGTTCTTCCGCCGCCGCTCCCAGTACGCCTCGTCCTTCGAGTCGTCCGGCAGCGAGCGCGCGCGCTTCCTCGACCCTCCTCCTCCTCCGCCTCCGGTTCCATCTCCGCCGCGGTCGTGGCTTCCCGTGCTGCAGCCACTGCCTCCGCTGAGGCGGTCCGCCGCCGCGTCGTCTGCGCTCTCCTCCGAGTGCATCGTCTCGTCGTCGTCGTCTGCGGCAGGACCGATCGCTGGCAACCGGAGCCTGGCGGGCGGCGGCGTCGCGGCGGAGGTCAGCCAGGGGCGCTGCTTCTCGCGGCGGGCGCGGCGGCGTGGGACCGCGTGGGGGGAGGGGGCGCCGGCAGCGGGGTGCGAGTGGACGAGGCGACCGCTGGCGCCATCTGTCCCTTCAGCAGCGTCTCCTGCGCCTGCTGCAGCCGCTTGATGTAGTGTCCGTAGAGTTCGTTGCCGGCGAGGGCGCCACCGGACATGCCCGGCATGATCCCCTCCATCCCCGGGATGGGAACGCTGAACGGGATTCCGTAGTAGCCGAGCGGCAGCGAGAGCGGGTCGCGCGGGTACGCTTTAAAAGGTCGCGTCGGCTTCAACTGTTTCCGCGGATCGACGATTCCCATCGCGGCGTATGCCGCCGCCGCCTCGTGCGCCCCCTGCTGGCCGTACATCGCGCTGCTGAAGGCCGCCAGGTGGAGCCCATTGGGCGCGTCGGCAGGGGGCGCCGGCGGCGGCGCGTCGAAGCTGTCGCGGCTATCGCGGCTCCCCGCGGAACTTACGGAGTCGGCGTCCCGGCGTTGGTCGCTGCTGCCGTTACGCGCGCCTCCGCCGCCGCCGCCACCGGCGCCATGACGCCCCGTCGTCGAGAAGTCCAGCGGTCCATCATCGTCGTCGCTGACGCCGTTATGGTCGCCGTCAGGCGGCGCCGCGGTCGGCGGCGGTGGCGGCGTGTCGTCGCGCTCTGTCTTGATGCGAGCCATTATGCCGTTAGGGCGCCCCCTGGTGTCGCTGTCTTCGGCCGCCATTACGTCGTTCGTTCGCTCCGTCGCTCCCTCGCTCTCTCGAGTGTGAGGGGGGCGGGGAGTCTCTCTCTTATCTCCTCTCGCCTTCTCTCTCTCTCTCTTTCTGTGTGCGCTAGGCGCTGCAAGGGTGGATGCTGGGGAAGCGAGCTTGCTCTCCCTTGCCTCCTCCTCCTCCTCTCTCTCCCCCTCTCTCCCCCTCTCTCTCGCGATGCGAGGGTGGATGCTGAGGGGCAGAGAGTGTTCTCTCTCCCTCACCTCCTCCCCCTCTCTCTCCCTCTGTGCTAGGCGGTGCGAGAGTGGATGCTGAGGGGTAGAGAGTCTTCTCTCTCCCTCACCTCCTTCTCCCCCTCACTCTCTCAGTGTGCTAGGCGGTGCGAGGGTGGTTGCTGAGGGGCAGAGCGCCTATTCTCTCTCCCTCTCTCTCTCTCTCTCTCTCTCTCTCTCTTTCGTGGACGCAGCCGACACGTAGTAGTAGTCCGACGCCTCACGTATTTATAGCTCGCGTAAATGGGTCACCATGTGGTGCTGCCCAGAATTCACCGCCTCCCCCCTCCTCCTCTCTCTCTTCCTCTCTCTCTCTGCCTCTCTCTCTCTCTCTCTGCCTCTCCGTGCGTGTGTGTGCGTGTGTGCTTGCTAGCAGCAGCTCTTACGTGATCGGTCGACGGTGCTGTTCGCCTGCAAAAGTGAGAGCAGCAGTTCGTTCGTTAGTGAGTCCGTGGCGTCATTAGCGACGCCCCAGTTAGCTTCAGATGCTGCTGCTGCTGCTGCTGCGGCCGCACAGAGACTAATTTGCTTATTTCGGGGAGAGGATGAAGAGAGAAGGGGGAGAAGGAGTGAGAGGAAGTGAGAGGGGGAGGGAGGAGGGGGATAGGGGAGAAGGTGGAGGAGGGAGGGGAGGGAGAGAGGAGGGAGATGGAGAGGAGGAGGGAGAGGGGGAGGAGATGGAAGGAGGAGGGGGAGGAGAGAGAGAGGGATGACAGGAGGATGAGGAGAGGGCGGAGGGGGAGGAGGAGGGAGGGGAGGGAGGAGATGAAGGGAGAGGAAGGGAGAAGGGGGAGGGAGGAGGGAGAGATGAAGGAAGAAGGTGGAAGGAGGAGGAAGAGATAAAGGGAGAAGGGAGAGGGAGGAGGAAGAGGGGGAGAAAAGGGAGGAGGGAGAGTGAGAGGAGGAAGGAGAGGGGGAGAGGATGAAGGGAGAGGGTGAGATGAAGAGAGGGGGAGAGGGAGAGGGGGAGATAAATGGAGGAGGGGGAAAGTGAGGGAGAGATAGGGGAAGAGGATGAAGGAAGAAGGAAGGAGAGGGGAGCGATAAGGCATTGTTAATGTCGCGGGCGGTGGCATGTGATGTCAGTGTAACAGTAAGCGGGAGATGACATGTGTATCAAGAATCCATAATAGAGTCTCTATTATGGACACTTGATACACATACACGCCTGGTATAGTCCCTTAGCGTTACTAGCAGTACCACAGCAATACCACGCAGTATAGTAGTAGCAGCAATATAGTAGTAGCAGCAATATAGTAGTAGCAGCAATATAGTAGTAGTAGCAGCAATATAGTAGTAGCAGCAATATAGTAGTAGTAGCAATATAGTAGTAGCAGCAATATAGTAGTAGCAGCAATATAGTAGTAGCAGCAATATAGTAGTAGATATAGCGATGGTAGTACTAAAGGGAGGGTGGTCGAGAAAGGGAGGTAGAGGATGACAGGGGTCGAGGATAAAGGGAGAAGGGGGAATGAGAGAGATGGTGAGAGGATGACAGGGGAAGCGGATAAAGGTAGAAGAGGAAGGGGAGGGGAGAGGGGTGGCGGGAGAGGAGGAGGGAAGGGACGAGGATAACGGGAGAAGGGGTAATGGGGAATAATGCAACGTTAACGTGACGGACGGTAACGGTGGCAACACGTTTGATGCCAGTGTAAGCAGGAGATGTGTATATACGCGCCTGATGTGTCTAACACTACAGCAATAGCATATAGTAGTAGCAACAATATAGTAGTAGATATAGTGATGGTGGTGCCAGCAGCAGCAGCAACAACAACAACAACAACAACAACAGCAACAGCAGTAGCAGTAGCAGCAGTAGTAGTAGCAGCAGCAGCAATAGTCGTAGTAGCAGCAGCAGCAGTAGCAGCAGCAGCAGTAGTCGTAGTACCAGCAGCAGCAGCAGTAGCAGCAACAGCAGCAGTAGTAGCTTTGGCTTGGAGTTTTCCTTGAGTGAACACGCAGGACACGCAGTACACGCAGGTTTGAGTGTACTGTGTTGTGTAACTAATTACAATGCGTTACGTAATGCTATGCAACGTTGCGTTGCGTTGCGTTATGTCATGGTAAATTCGGTTCCGTTACAATGCGTTACGTTACGTTACGTGTTAGTATGCATTTACAACTACCTTCAGCCCCAATTAACATCCCCTGTTTGATTCTATACCCACTCTAAGCACCCTTGCCTATATGTGCACACACGTACCCTAACCATCCTTTCCCTATTTCTGCGCCATAATATCCACGTCTCTTTACTTGTATTCACAAATTCCCACCCTCCCTACTCTTGTCTCACCTAAACCAGCCACTGCATAACCCAAACAACCCGCTCCTTACTTCTATNGCAGCAGCAATATAGTAGTAGTAGCAATATAGTAGTAGTAGTAATATAGTAGTAGCAACAATATAGTAGTAGCAACAATATAGTAGCAGCAGCAATATAGTAGTAGCAACAATATAGTAGTAGCAACAATATAGTAGCAGCAGCAATATAGTAGTAGTAGCAATATAGTAGTAGTAGTAATATAGTAGTAGCAGCAATATAGTAGTAGCAGCAATATAGTAGTAGTAGCAATATAGTAGTAGTAGCAATATAGTAGTAGTAGTAATATAGTAGTAGTAGCAATATAGTAGTAGCAGCAATATAGTAGTAGCAGCAATATAGTAGTAGTAGCAATATAGTAGTAGCAACAATATAGTAGTNTTACACGTGTTGCATCGCCGCAGGTTGAAACTGTAGAGAAATTCGTATACAAATCTACAAAAATCTGTAAAAACTACATCGTTTCTTTTATTACTGAAGTATAAATATCAGAATTACCCATTTCTCAAATGAGATAAAAGTATCAGATATTTGAAAGTAAAGCAGCTACACAGCTACAAGCTAACCCACAGATAACACCCATGCATCTAGACACACACCCACCCACACACACACCCACACCAACAGGCACACACGCACACGCACACGCACACCCACACCCACAGGCACACACGCACACGCACACGAACACCCACACCCACAGGCACACACGCACACGCACACACACACAATAACACATTACACCCACCTGCTCTACCCACACACACACACACACACATAAGAACACATAACACCCACCTGCTCTACCCACCCACACACACATAACAACGCATAACACCTATATGCTCTACCCACACACACACAAACACACATAATAACACATAACACCTACCTGCTCTACCCACCCACACACACACAAACACACATAACAACACATAACACCTATATGCTCTACCCACCCACACACACACAAACACACATAACAACACATTACACCTATATGCTCTACCCACCCACACACACATAACAACACATAACATCTATATGCTCTACCCACCCACCCCACACATAACAACACATAACACCTACCTGCTCTACCCACAAACACACACATAACTAGAGCACTCGGAGAGCACAGACCTCCGCCAAGGCAGCTGAATTCTCTCAATGTGAAATTTTTTATTAATTTATTAATTAATTAAGTGGAAAAATTAATTAATTAATTAATTAAATAATTAATTGGATCCGGATTAGTGCGAGCGTGCAGGTGAGGGAGGACTGTGGTTGCCCCTTAGCCTGTGTTTGTAAGTCTACAGCCAGCGCACCTTGCGGAAGTGAACTGAAACGTGCATGGTAACACACACACACACACAAACCAACACTCAATGGCACGCCGGTGAAAATATAACCTCCGCCACGCCCCTGGCAGAGGTAACAACACATAACACCTACATGCTCTACCCACACACACACAAACAGGGTTCTGCCCAGGATTTTTTAGTGCCGGGCTCATCCAGTTGCGACGATGCAAGCGCCGTAGGCGCGAAGCCAATCTAGGGGGGTCCGGGGCATGCCCCCCCGGGAAATTTTTCATTTTGGATAGTCTGAAACTCAATTTCCTGCATTCTGAGCAATAAAAAGCCCATATATCACACCTTTTTTTTCGCTTTTTTTTAATATCAAAAATTAGTGCCGGGCGGAGATATATAGTGCCAGGCGGCAACCGCGAGTGCCGGGCACACCCGCCCACCGCCGCCCACTGTGGGCAGAACCCTGCACAAACACACATAAGAACACATAACACCCACCTGCTCTACCCACACACACACAAACACATAATAACACATAACACCTACCTGCTCTACCCATCCACACATACATAACACATAACACCTATATGCTCTACCCACACACACACACAAACACACATAACAACACATAACACCCACCTGCTCTACCCACACACACACAAACACATAATAACACATAACACCTACCTGCTCTACCCATCCACACATACATAACACATA